ACAGCCGAGTTTCAAAGCTCGGTGGAACTTCTCATTCCCGCGTTTTTTTTGGGTAAGCAGCGCGGATTTGCGATTTTTCCGATGATTGAGGGATTCATTTTCTCCGTTTCCTCGAAATTGGCGCGCAAGAGTGCTGTGAATCTTTCTTTATTCTGTTCTCCTCCATGGCAAGCTTTGCCTTTGAAACGGATTGACCGATTCGGCAACATCTTATAAAAGAAGCCAGTCTCATCGGCGTTGAATATGTTCTTGATCGAATATTCATTCAGAGTCCTTTCGTTCTCGTTCATCCAGCGATCGATTTCCTCTTGGTCAACCTTGGAAGCTTCGCCACAAATTCTCTGATTCGAAAGCTTGAAGCGCGCTTTGGAGCCATCTAGCCACGAATTTGAGGCTTTGAAATCGGAATCCCCATTCTCGGCTGAGATTGCCTTTTCTTTCAACCACAGGCCCGAAATAGGGAGGTCTGGGTGGTCAAGCCTGGCATCCTCAAAAGCCTTGAATAGGTCCCGCTCGATACCTTGAAACTTCGGCGTTCTGAAGCGCTTGCTTTTATGAGACTTCTTCTGAGCACACTGCATCCTGATCTTTTCCGCATTTCGCTTGATATTGTACACCGTCCCTTGTGACACTCTCCATTTGGTCATGGCCTCGCGGATACTAACCCCGCATTCCAGGTCGCCGAGGAGTTGAGTTTTTTCTTTCAGACTCAAGCTGTTTCCTGGCTTTGGCCATTCTCCCCTCTGACCAAGTCGAGCGACCCGTCCTCGGCACAGAATCGAGCGGACTGAACGACTCTGAACGTCACTTCGTTCAACTCGAGCTCGATACACATTTTCAGAGGCACATTTCAAACGCCCGAGATCACATCCCACATTCGGGTCAGAGCGGGACTCATATCGGTCGATAGTCAGAATGTCCGGGAGTCTCTCATTGAATGAGAACTCAATGAGAAATCATATTTTCCCGTGAGCGCCTCTCAAAACACGAGACACACAAAAAACACGAAAAAAAAAAAAGAAACACAAAACACGAGATGTTATAAATTACCAGCATTCTGGAGCGCGGCCTTCGGCCGCGCTCGTCGCTTCTGCATGCCCTGCTGAAGGTATACCCATACTCAATGTTCGAGAATCGTCGTCGCAGGCGAATTGAGGGAGCTCTGATTCTTATACATGAGAGACATGTGACGCAGGATTAAGAATCAAGAATATTTGACCGAATGCTCTACGATCCAGGTAGAACATCGGGTAATTTACTCGTGGGCATTCGGATTCAGAACAGACGGGTTTGGAATGCCAGAAAAGCCGATAATCGATAAACCGAGAAGTGAATGACGAGTACGGCAAGCATAATCAGTGGTCAACGATTTCCTCGAGACCGTCCTCTACAGCTTGGTAGGCAGCGTTCCTTTATTCATGAAACAAGCCGTGAGGGCGCTTCGCGCCCCCACGGCTGAATGCCAACGATGCATTGCTTTTCGTTGTCTGAAGAGAAGCATGGGCAATCCTTAGACATGTAGCTCCTCCCAGTCCGGACAAATGATCTCGAAAAAGGATTGCAAGGAAGGATCTACGATCCTAAAATCTATTTTCCATGGCTCGTGGAGGGGCGAAAGTATACATTTGGTTTATAAACGGGGAATAATTTCCAATCCGAATCCAACAAATCAGGCGTCGACTATATAAAAGCTCGTCCTCTGCGATGCTGGAGCGAATCGGCGAGTCGATTGAATCCGACTAAAATGGATTTCCGCGCTGATAACGACGAAATTGAGTGGTTTGCACGTATTTGCCAACTTCACTTTTGGCCTTGTCGAAAGCGTCGTATTGGACAGAAGCTCATAGAGACAGTTCTGAATCATCACGCTGAGGTGAAGTCATTAACCATAATACCCGTCGGAGTCACGATTCGTCAAGGTGTCATGCGATTGGAACCGAAAAAAAGCGGAATCGGGTGGACGTAAACTGGTGTCTGTGAGTATCGACTTAGGGTCGATCGTTGGGCCTTTGGGCAAAACCACGTTCAAGAGAGACGTGTGGACCTCGATTCGGAGATGTAAAGCATGTCTTCTGTGCACCGGGTTGAGGTTCATTGGCAACCCCCTCTCCTTACATCCGCAGCTCATAGAGCTAGAGCTCATGATCCCGTCCCTTCTCAAAGCCGATGGTGATGAAACGGCGGAGTGAAAGAACGTTTCTCGTAATAAAGCTCTAGCGGTTTCGCCGGATTATTGAGGGATGCATTCTTAGCGTGGAGTGTAGATTTCGTAGACTTGGTTTAGCGTTGGGATTGTCCGCCGTGAGAGTAATTATTAAGGAAGGACAGTATTTATTTCGCGACATAGAACATTGTCCTTAAGGCTTTGTTCATCAGCTCGTCCCAGTCGGGTTCCTCGCACAGAGGCATCACCGAGCGGAAAAACACATGGACGGGATCCAAGACCAAATCATTCATCCACATCGGTCTCCTAAAGGCGATGTATAGGACATGACAAATGATTGGCTGAGGATGTCCAGAGCCGTCGAGGCTCCAATCGACATAGTCCCGCTCAAGGACGAAGAGTTTCTTGAGGACGGGCGTGTCGTTCAACATGTCTAAGGATCTGAGCCGTTCGAATCTCGGGAAGTTACTTAGGACGGATTTATGTAGCTCGATGCGGAAGTAGCGGTACACGTCCAAGGCTGGGAAAGAGTCGATGAGATTTTGGTTACAGTAAGAGACACATTCGGAGTGAACTCATGAGCGTCGACAGCTGTTTATAGGATTCGATGCCTCATATTCCTTATGCTGTTTTGAGGAACAGAGCCTTACTGTCCATGAGAATGCTAGGTGATCAGAGCCACCGGATCTGGAGTGCCGAACTGCCGACTGACCGACTGTCTTCGATTCGTTATCCTCGGGCAGCGGAGCTTTGTGTGTATGTTTTCACTCCCCGGGCCCTCAAGAATCGAGTTGTTCTTCCCCTCAGACTAAAATCGTATGTTCGAGAAGATATGTTTTGAGACACGAATCAAATCTCTAATTCACAAATTTTTTGTGGTAGGACGAAGTTTCCTGCAGCGGAAGTTTCCTCGAAATGAGTGTAGACATCATAGTGGAGCATTCACATATTTTGAAGAATAACGATTACTGGAAGAATAACGATTACTGGGAGAATACGTGAAATCCACGTAATTCACGTGGCGATTCCATTTGAAAAGTACATCTTTACCTCCCTGACGAAAAGTCGCATCGCTCGCGAAAGTTTGGAGTCAGTCCGGAGGAGGAAAGCGCTACAAATTGGTTCGAAGTCAGACAGACCTTGCGATTTTATTAAATAGGGGGATATTCCTTATGCTGTTTTGAGGAACAGAGCCTTACTGTCCATGAGAATGCTAGGTGATCAGAGCCACCGGATCTGGAGTGCCGAACTGCCGACTGACCGACTGTCTTCGATTCGTTATCCTCGGGCAGCGGAGCTTTGTGTGTATGTTTTCACTCCCCGGGCCCTCAAGAATCGAGTTGTTCTTCCCCTCAGACTAAAATCGTATGTTTGAGAAGATATGTTTTGAGACACGAATCAAATCTCAAATTCACAAATTTTTTGTGGCAGGACGAAGTTTCCTACAGCGGAAGTTTCCTCGAAATGAGTGTAGACATCATAGTGAAGCATTCACATATTTTGAAGAATAACGATTACTGGAAGAATAACGATTACTGGGAGAATACGTGAAATTCACGTAATTCACGTGGCGATTCCATTTGAAAAGTACATCTTTACCTCCCTGACGAAAAGTCGCATCGCTCGCGAAAGTTTGGAGTCAGTCCGGAGGAGGAAAGCGCCACAAATTGGTTCGAAGTCAGCGGACCTTGCGATT